TCTGGCCCTGATCCTGTGGGAATTCTGGCCTGGATCCCACTGGAATTCTGGCCCTGATCCTGTGGGAATTCCGGCCTGGATCCCACTGGAATTCTGGCCCTGATCCCCTGGGAATTCTGGCCTGGATCCTACTGGAATTTGGGCCCTGATCTCAAAGGAATTCTGGGATGGATCCCACTGGAATTCTGGCCCTGATCCTGTGGGAATTCTGGGCTGGATCCCACTGGAATTCCAGCCACGATCCTGTGGGAATCCCAGGATGGATCCGAGGGGAATTCCAGGCTGGATCCCGTGGGAATTCGGTATCCTGTGGGAATTGCGGCCCTGATCTCACGGGCATTCCCAGCCCCAATCTCACGGGAATCCTGGCCCCAATGCCATGGGAATTCTGACCACTATCCCCAGAGGAATCCCAGCCCTGATCCCATAGGAATTTTAGATTCCAATCCCACAGGGAATTTCCCACTGAAATTCTCAATTCCAAGGGAATTTCCAGCCCCGATCCTGTGTGAGAATTCCAGACCCCATTCCCACTGGAATTCCGGATCCCACAGGGAATTCCCGCCCCCCCCTCACCTCTTGAACTCCTCCCGTTGGGACGTGGGGCAGTTGATCCTCTCGATGAACCCAGTGGGGGCACAGTCCGGGAGGGTCTTCTGAGGGCAGGAAGAGACCCCCCCAGGATCCCCCGAGTGAGGGAGGACCCCAGACCCAAAGCCCCCCCAATTCTGGGGGTCCCCGAACCCCCTGGAGCCCTCAGGGCAAGGCAGGGGGGTGGGTTTCAGCCCCACCAGCCCCCCCGGTGTTGGGGGTCCCAGCCTCCCGGTTCGGGGGTCCCACCGCCCCAGTTGGGGGGTCCCAGCCCCGCTCACCATCTGGAATTCGGAGCACCGGGCACATTCCTGGGCCACCACGAACTGCTCCTCCCGCCAGCACGGCGTGGCCACCGCGGGGCTCGCTGGAGGGGGGCAGAGATCAGTGGGGAGCGGACAGAGTCCCCAAACCCCGGACCGAGACCCCAGACCCCGGATCGAGACCCCAGACCCCGGACCGAGACCCCAAACCCCGGACCGAGCCCCCA